TTCTGTACGAGTTGCAATACGATATTATACGTCCGAAAAGTTCCGCACGCAGCTGGGTAAGTAGTTTATGAATAAAGTCAGCCATTTTTTTTACAACTGCATTTCCCTCATCGATGCCCAGTAGCTTCAGAATCGTTGGCCAGACATTAACTTTACGAAGTGTGATTTTTCGATGATACTCAAATCTTTTATCCACTTGTGAGACATCACTAGACTGGAAATTTTATGCTTTTTTTCAAAAATCGAATAATCCAATATGGCGCCCATAATAAAAATGAAAGTTGAGGCGGCTTACGGACGATTGAGACATATCATACACGCTAATTCTTGAAAAAGTGTCTGAATAATGTCACATTTTGACAGCTGTCAAATTAACCGTTTCGGGTTAACCGGCAAAAAACGAAATCCGTCATTTTCGGTTTTTCGCCGATATTTCCAAATCTAATTGAGCGATTGTTATTCTGAAGCCGATTATCGAATGCACTTAGCCTCCTCTTAAACTTCCCCCATTTAACCCTTGCTGTACGTATAATAGGAACCGAGATCCCTGTATAGAGAAGCGAATCTGGGACACATTGTATGTATAAAACCTCGATTGTGGTTTTCCTGTATTTTTGAACATTTGTACAATTATCACATCTCTTCCCAATGATTTCTTAATTTTAATTTTTTTGAGTGCCCCCTTTATTTCATTTTCACTAATTTATGGTTTTCGTATTGTGTTCTTGTTGGTTGAGATCATATAATCTGTACCCAATAACCAATCCTTCTTGGTTGTTTTCAGCCATTCATATTTTTATTATTTCAAGACATTTTTTTTTTTTTTTTTGTTTTTGTATTCTCTTTCTAGTTTCTTTGATACCTTTTCTAATGGTTTCACCCTCCTTATATTTCACTCTTTTTTTTTTCTCCCTTGGTTTTCTTTTATTCATGATGTGTATAAAGCCTTTGTTTTTGGTATCGTTTCCTCTATTTTATCCTTTTAACTCTGCTTTTCTTGTTTCAAGTTTTTAATGACTATAGCTTGTGATTATTTTCCATTTTTTTTTTCTTGTGTTTCATTTTTCATTGGCTATTAATGGTTAATTTTACAGTTGTCAGGCGGGTTGGCGAGTTATTATGCAGTCACTCTATGGATCAGCTGTTGTTTGCAGCCGCTCATTCTAAGTCAGATACTGCTGGGCTATCGCGGTGTTGCCGGATTTCGTTCTATGTGCCTCTTTATTGCGGTGTTGCCGGTTTGCTTGAATTTAGGATAACAATGACGTGTCTTAGAGAAATCCTGCTGATTTGTGACAGTCCAGTCCCGTGTTGTTAGTTCTTCTGTATTTTTTGGGGTGCTGCTGGCTAGTGTTATCTGTTGATAGTAAAGTAGAATTTTCCTAACTGTTGGTGACTTCTGGGCATCATCTGTGTTGTTGATTTCTATGGCTGCCCTTATTATCCGTATGGTATGTTGCGATTTTGGTGAAACGTCGCCAAGAAAAGTGTAAGTATATATTTTCTATATATATTAGGAAAAAAAATCCTATTTAGCAACAGAGAACAAATTGAATTCCGTTTTATTTATCGATTCGTGTCCATAAAAAAATTAATATCTAAAGCAATTATGTTTTCAATTCAAATTGCATAATGATCGATAAACAAAATAATAAAACCAATAACTAAACTGATAGATAAATGTTCTCACGTAATAAATACACATAGGTGTGTGTCAATAAATTTAATTTGCTGATAAACAAATATTGGATGATTTTTTTAAATAATTTATCTGATAGGGAAAAAGGTATTAGATTTGGCAAGTGAATTAATATTTAATCTAACATATAACCACTTGTGCCTGCAAATTTATTTGGACAGCTTTTTCATTACCTAATAGTTAATTGAAAGAATTCTAGTGGTAGAGAGTTGTATGTTTATTCAGTTTGAAATCTAGTTTGTTTTTGAATCAGTTTTTTCCTTCCTGTCTTCATGTCAATCTCTATTCTCACCCTGATCAGCGTGTAGTCACTTCTCAGATTGAATCTGTTGATACCGGCACGTCATTAATTTATAAATATGTACTTTGTTGTAGATGCATATGTCGTGTATTTCATTTTTTGTTCTTCCTTCTGGGCTTATCCAGGACCATCGGCGGTCGTTGGGTTTCATGAAAAAAGTGTTGATCCAATATTTGTTCTTGTTGTAAGCTTGTTGTAAGTAGTCCAAGAATATTTCTCCTCTTCCATTTAACTGACCCAGGCCGGCATGGAATATTTTCTCCGTTGGTGCAGCCTAATTTGGTGTTTGAATCTCTCATGATAATTTCGAAATGGTTGTTTTCAGGCTTTGCTTTTGAATTATCTTCGTACAACTGTTCTATTTCTTCGTCTTCAGACGTGCTAGTGGGAGCGTACCTATATTTAAAGTATTTGTAGAATAAAGGAGAAAGGTCTTTTCTAGAAAAAGATATACTCTTGGTAGAATTTCTTTTATTCAAGAAGAGTTTGCCTTTTTACAATTGTAGATAAAGCTTGCATTGTTATGAACTAGGTTTTTCCATAATTTACTGACACTTGTTATGTTACTGTTGAACTGCAACAAACTGAACACTTTATTGTCGGAAAGTGTTAAAACAACGACTAAACTATCTGTGGTAGTTTTTTGCATTAAATCGTGATTTATTATTGAACACACCTCGAACAATACCTTATAAATGACTGCATAAAACCCACCCAAACTTCTCCAAACACCACGCACTCCAGGTTGCCTTGCTATAATTAACTCGTTTTTCTGTCCTATGTGAACGTTCTCTAGCACAGTACAGTTACACGTAAGTTATTCATAGATGCATGCAAACAAGACAACAACATAACAAAAATAAAGCGACCAACCGTTCGCTCTGCAGACAAAAGAATTAAAGTAACCTTGGACTCGGCTTTAATGGCTACAATTAATATTCGATCGTGAATGGTATTATAATATTGAATATTGGTTCGAATTATTTCCAATAAAGTTGAAGAGTCAATTGAATCGGCTCGGAAATTTATTTCTCATTAAATATTTGAAAACAATAAACTTGCCACAGCTTTGTTAATTGAAACTCGACATGTTTCGCTACATTGTAGCTTCGTCAGCAGAAATACACAAATTAACTAAAACAATCACATATTAACTAGGTCTATCCGAATAGATTTTATTCATCTATTCAGGCAATTCAAAAATCTAATGTATATTGAGATATAAATTAGGGACCCACCTACTCCTATAGTTTTCAAATAAGTTATTATTACCTTTTAAAAGGTCTCAGATACATTACACTAATGCTCAATAATAATAATAATTATAGTATAAATTTTCAAATTGATTCATTCCTGAGAATGATTTTAGGAAATAATTAAAAATGTATAGGAAGTGAATCTATAGCCAGATTCAGCGCACAGCAATGAAAATGCAAATGGACCAACAAACTGATTTTGATGTTGAAAAACCCCAGAAAATATAGCGAGACGTCTTTTAGAAAACGGTAGGAAACAACTGAATAAAAACACTCCTCAACAGAAAAATGTGGCAAGATTTGCGGGAAGCCTACACCCTGAGGAAAAGGTAAAATACTAATTGAACCCCACCAATCAAAGATACAAAATGTTGTATTGTAATCGGTTCACTTTTCAATTCTTCCTGGCAAATAAATGTCATCACCAACATATCCTTACCCCAGCAATGCGAAAATTGAGGTGTGTTTAAAAGTTACGAAAGTCAATCTGAGAAGTAAATTAACTATTGACAATTTGACTAGGTACTTCAATAGCATCAAGAGTTGAGAAGAACTATTTTTATTAAAGAGTCCAATCGTTTTATTTATTTTTTAAATCCGTTTCATATCCTAGCTAGAACCACTAAAGTTTCACGAGAAAAGGATAGAGAGACAAACAAGAGATCGAAATAATTAAAATAACTTAATTTTGAATGGGCAAAAGATAACCGAAGGTCACTTTTGATGGAAAAACCAGTGTTAATTTCCTAGAAGAAATAGAGAGATAAAACAATTTCGAAACAAAAACAAAAACAATAATTTATTATTTTGACGAAACGTGCATGATAGGGAAACGCAAGCCGTACAGAGAAACCACACGAGGCAGCATAAAATATAACGTAATGAGCTTATTTAGAAGGCTTATCTACAAAAATGAAACCAACTCGACTTATCAATGTCTCAAATAGTGTAATAGAATGAATTTAAAAAAAATATAAACCTCAAATGTTGTTTATAAATTAAAGGAACTCTAGTCTTGCATTAATATGGAGATATTTGATATAAGGAGATCCATTCATTCTGCATAAAATTCATATTACAGTGCAAATGGGCCTTCAACCTCCTTTTGGGGTGAGTGAGGTTTGACAACGATTTGCTAGTACTACAGGGGTACTATTCTCCTAGTCTCGGTTTCGGCCCAGTTGTGTCTAATTTACATGTACTTATACATTGAACTGTCAATTTTTTAATTATTCTTGGTAATTTTTGTACTGCTGATAGAAAAACCACAATTCTTAAGTTTAAATTCCCAAAGTTGGAGAAATATAAGTATGGATATTTATATAGATATAGATGACCTAGATAGATACCTACTTTAAAATTTTTAATAATTTAATACAGGTAAATTTATAAAAAAGGCAATGCAGAGAGTTAATATACAGAAATTGAAAATTGGAGTATTAGAAACATATCTACATAGGTCATCATCAAATCTAGGATTGCTACTTGAGCACACTGCACGTCGACATTGTTAGGTACAACCACTTTTAGCGGCCCTGACATTTAGCAGAAGACACTAATCTGTAATTTTCTGCACAATATAAAAGTGAAATGTGTGAGCAATCGGCAAATAAGGTGCATTGCTGATTTATATAGATCATTAGGAAACGTGCATAAATGCCCTACCTCGCTGTAATAAACATTGATGTACCTTCACAAAATCTTGTGAACGTGAAAGATCATCTTTATAAGTAGCCTTACTTACCATTTTTAGTGTTTCCTCTGGTCTCAACAGATAAAACATCGACTGTAAATGTCGCTGAATGGCGCTACTGTTTTGTCCGGCCACACTGACTGGTGTAGCACCGTCAGCAACTTCCGAAGGCGCAGCGTTCGCCCCATCGACGGCGCAGGCCGGATGGGGCTGCGCTGATGCATCGGCATCTGGTAGCACCAAAGCGGTGCCCTTGCCCGCAAAGTAACATTCGCTCAAGCTGAAAAAAAAAGGAAAATATTAATTGACTTGGTGCGTAACAGAAACCAAAACACAGTTGTAAGATTAGAACAGAAAAAAGTCGAGCCTTATATAGGATAAGCCTGTGTCAGGCCCTGCGGACCCGTTTGGGACACCACTGTGTGTCACGGAAATAATTCTCAATGGACGTGTTTCCCAAAAGGGTTCTTTGGCTTTTCGTTTTTATATACCGTTGGGTCGCAGTCTGCCGCGGCAATTCCATATAGGGCTTCGGAATTTGAAAACTTTGTGTTCCCCCCTTAAATCAACTCGCGTCTGACCCAAAGAGCACTTAAGTGTTACGATCTTATAACCGTAATAAATGTCATTTATATTTTATTTTTATGATATGGCGATAAATGAAATATGTTTTCTACTTCGAAAATTTTCAATAAGGAAAATCATGTTAGTGAAAAACTTAGTAGTAGTGTTAATAATTTTTGGCAATTTCACTGGAAACAACAACCATATTATTCAAGGATATACAACTATTGTTATCTCAGGTGTTAACTTTCCAATTCATTAACAAACCCAAGACCAGAAATTAATTTTTTATATTTGTAATGCCCAAGGTGTTTTCACAATTATCATCTTGAGTCATTTTTAACACTAATTTCAGTAAAGCGTCGAAATATCACTAGGATTCAAGAAACATGAATATGTAATTATGACGATTTGTCTCCAATGTCAAATTCTATATTCTTCATCTATTATTAAAACTGACTCCATACTAAATGATACACGAGCTTGAAAAATGCATTATTACATTAAAACAAACAAAAAAAATATTTGAAATTGGTATAGCATTGTGGCATTTCGATAAATTACTTGCTATGCCAGATACTTGTTAGTAGGAGAGTTGAAAAAAAATTACCTGCCGACATTAACGGCAAACTCCGAAAAAACTTTAAAATAGTTGGGAATTGTGAACAGGAGAATTATCACAGCACTAAACACAAAGACCTTTGGAATTTCCTCGAATCACAACCGCTACATCCAAACCAAAGTTTTGATGTTTTATATCAGAATCCAACACTCTAAAGAGTATGATAGACACAGCAGCACCGAATCAATTCAACCGTTAATTGCATCAATTTTTCCGAAAAATATTCCTTCGCGGTCGAGCGAATCGGTTATACTTATCAGCTATTCGTGTCTTCGCGCCACTAAAATGCATAACAGAACATCGCTGCACAGACAAAAGCGCGAAAGGCTAGTGACGCGCTCGCGGAATTAAAGTGGACTGTTACCAGCTTTGAGTTTAAGTGTACGATTGTTCTCTATGGGAATACCATCACATTGTCGGTTATTAACGTTTATGGACGTGGGTAGATACAACGAGACGCGACGACGCTACGATGTCCACGTTTTTTGACATTTCCACTATTCATTGTGGCCAGCATTTTTCCAGACCTTAAATCTATTTAGAGAATTGGCGACCAAATAATCTTAATTCGCTGAAATTTGTCGTATTTTAATATTATGTGTGAATGAAACCAACATCTGTAACGAACCTGTTCTTTACTATTCTGTGGCTAATTAACCCGAATCATACGTCTATTTGCTTATCAACCAATTTTAAAAAATTGTCGATTTTTGGAATCCACAAGGATGCGAGAGTTTTTTTCTATTTCTTCAACATGAAAATGACTTTCGCACATTCTCATCTCTGAACAATCTTAAATATCTCAATTAGATGCTCTCAAAGCTTTCCTCCTCCAGTCGAACTAAAACTGTTAAGGACGAGATAGAGCGTTTCTAAGTGGTTTCTGTTTTTCAATTTATTTATTATAGGGAGTTTTCGTTGCTTACAAAATGCGGTCCCGGTTAACGCTACTTGACAGCTTTGACATTCGAATCTCGTTTGTCGTATATCGTAACCGCTAAGTGACGGTATTGTTCGGACGGTAGACATATTCGTTAACGAAGCAAGACGCAGGCGCAGTAGAAATTTAAAAAAAATTCATAACCGTAATTCAGGTGACAAGTTGACCCAAATGTTTTGATTTGTTGTTTTGGTGATCAATCTAGTAAGAAAATATTTTGATATTATTTTGATAACAAAATTACTTTTTGAAACACACTAAAACTAATCGAAGACGGGAAAATAACACCAAGAGACACAACAGCGTCAGGAGATGAACAAAAAAATCGAAAGACAAATAAGAAATGCCAATAAAAATTTAATGAAAACTGCATAAAACTATACAAAATGCTGTATATGTATATGTTAGCGATTCTGTTCCAGGCATTTATGGATCAGTGAATTGGTGAATGACTTGTGTAACATATCCTGAGGAATCGCTTCAATGATATTACAAATGTTCCGCTTAAGATCTTCCAGGCTATTTGAGCAAAGGATTACAGCATCTTTCCTTGACATAACTCCAGAGAAAAAATTCTGGAACGCTCAAGTCAGGAGGGTAAGGTGTCCATTCTATAGGACCTCCATATCCGTCTTTACCCAAATGTCATATCTAGTGATTCCCTTGCTATTAAAGAATGATGAGGTGGGGGCACCATTCTGCTGGGAATAGATATCATCCAAGATCATCAGTGTATACAATTTCTGTTATCGTTAGTTCATTAATGGAAATGGTCTGTATTTTTTCTTAATAGAGATTGTACACCAAACTGTTACGTTTGACGAGTTCCAGAGAAAATACTCTGGAACTAGTAAAATTTTCTTGAAAATTGTATTTTAACTTAATTGATATCTAACTAGACAGTTACAAAATTCTTTGTCATAGTGATATCAAGTACCTACAACATGAAGTTGCATGCGTTTGCAAAAATACCAAGATTTCGATTTTGATTTTTTACATCTAAAACTTCAAGTTTAGGGACGATGACTATTGGTACATGGATACCTTGAATATTAATATTTTTTTGACGTTGTAATATACAGGGTGTTCCATTAAAAATAGTGGAGAATTTTGATGTTGAAAAACTGATTTTTTTTCACTTGCCCTGTATAAGTTTCAAAAAAATGTGCAACCTACTAGAAAAAACTTTAGACTAAGAGAAATCGAATGGCGCAAACCGCAGGTAGCTAGCACACTTGGTTTAAAAGTTATAACCATTTAAAATGGTTCACTTTCGGCTGGGACACCCTGTATTGGATAACGCGTTCTGAAGTTATCACTTGGGTGAAACGTCGCGAGGCACCCTGTATAATATACCTACTCATGTATTTACATAATAAGGTGTAGTAGAATGAGACAACGCTTTTATTTCCAGTTGTTTAAAAACTTATTTAAAAATGAGAAACCAAAAGACATACTTAAATCAAATTTTGGAAATAAAATAAAAAATAAGGAACATAGGAAAGATAAATACATTCCAAGCAAGCATATAATGAAAATATTAAATATAACAAAACGAGGAACATAAAAAACATTAAAACGTATATTCAAAAAACAAAAATAAAAAATTATGACATATCACTTATCTACTCTATCTGTTAAGATAAATAAACAAAACATTATTAGCATCGTTTAAAAACGAAAATAACATGCAACACTTACTGAACAGGAAAATATTTAAAAAAAAAAGAAGAAAAATCCTCGTGAAGTAAAATAAAAGAAAATCAAAGAGAAGACCAAAACCTAAAAATCCTTTCTGTGGGCGTTATGGTTGGCAAATTCCCCAACCAATTCAGATATGTCCATTCTACTAGCTTTTATGGACAGCAGCTCCAATGCCTTTAGTCGACCTTATGTCATGGAGGAACGCAAAAAGCTTCTAATAAGCTTGAGCTTTGGAAACGAACCTTGTGCATTGGCTACTGTTACAGGCAACGTCAAAAATCTAATAGGGATTTCTTCAGTAAAACTAGATTTGAGTTAAGTTCCACATGTTTAATTAAGATTAAATGGAGTGAGTAACCGTCGTATCGTACCAATAAAATCTAATTCGGATTAAGAAAAAAAAAAATTAAAAACTATTTGCGGTCCTGCGGGGGCCCCAAAATGACGGGGCCCCCCCGCGACTTAGTTACGCCACTGTGAATAAGAGCTAAAAAAAAAGGTTATAGCTGACAATTCGAATATGAGGGTTTTCATCAAAGACTTTTATACCCACTTATTAACTCTTATGCGAGAAATTCGAGGATAGAAAGACCCCACGTGTGCAATGTTAATTCAGAATATATCCCAAACAAATCAAAAACAGAAATACGTTAGGACAAATGAAAACCCGAAAATGACTCAGGGAGGACAAAATAACGAAATGCCTAAGATGGGCGGAAATCTTGTGGACCAAATTCTTGTTTGATGAATGTCTGACTGAAATAAACATCTTGGGAAACATTCTAGACGTGTGGCAAAATGCGGAAGCCATCCTGCTTGGGAAGAAGTGATACCGATTGAGAACTACAGGCCAATAAGTTTGTTGTAACGCTTATACAAACTCTTTACCAAAATAATAACGAAGAGACTGGACAGTAATTTGGATGCCAGTAGAGCAGGGAGGGGCTTAAAAAGTGCTTCAGTACCATATACCATTTACCGAACATCAAAACACTGATAGAAAAGACAACGAAATATAGGTAGCATTCAACTGTATTTAGCCTTTATAGACTGTCAGAAGGCGTTTGATTCCGTCGGAACTTGGGCATTTCTACAGGTTATGGATGGAACAAGAATTGATGCAAGGTGTTCTACCCTCCTGCGAAATATTTATTTAAACGCGAAATTCCAGGTTAGGGAATTCCGGGGTTGAGAGTGGCGAAAAGGTTCATATTCATCTCAGCAAAGAGATTTGTACAACTTTTTAACATGAACAGAAGGGACATTAGAACAGTCGCGTCGTTGGTCTGCTCACTGGGCATTGCCTGGAGAAATATCACCTAAAAACAATAGGGAAATCAGGCAACGATCATACTGCAGATCTTGCGAACCAGCAACAGAAACTACAGAACATTTTAATCTGTGAATGCCCCGCTGATTTCTGCAAAAGGCTGCAATACCTTGAAAGGGT